TAGCTGGGATTACAGGCATGTGCTACCATGCTTGGCTGATTTTGTATTTTTAGTCAAGATAGGATTTCTCCATATTGGTCAGGCTGGTTTCGAATTTCTGACCTCAGGTCATTGGCTCACCTGGGTCTCCCAAAGTGCCAGGATTACAGGCGTGAGCCACAGCACCTGAGTGGTCCTGGATAGTCTTTCAAAAGAGGAACAGCAAGCAAAGTGATGGATCTGAGTTAGAATAGTCACAGTTCAAGGAGGCCAGAGTGACTGAAGGGATCTAGGTTCCAAAAGGCAACAGGAAGGAGCCCAGCTCAAGTCTCAAGTTCCCTTGTTTACCTCCTTCCCTTCTCAGCATATAGGGAACACCTCCCTGGCTCAAGCTCTAGATGCCGATAATGAATAGTACACTATTCCAGTTATCAGAACCAGAATAAGAGGTCAGAGTCCAACTGGCAGCAAGAATGGATGATGCTGGTTAGGTGTGGTGGCTCACGCCTGTAATCCCAGCACTTTGGGAGGCCGAGGCAGGTGGATCACCTGAGGTCAGGGGTTTGGGATCAGCCTGACCAACATGGTGAAACCCAATCCCTACTAAAATACAAAAATTAGCTGGGCATCGTGGCATGTGTCAGGGAGGCTGCTCGGGAGGCTGAGGCAGGAGAATTGCTTGAATCCAAGAGGCAGAGGTTGCAGTGAGCCAAGATCCAGCCACTGTACTCTAGCCTCGGTGATGGGGCGAAACTCCCTCTCAAAAAAAGAAAAAAAAAAAAAAAAAAAAAAAGAGTCAATGATGCTACATCAAATAATCAAACAGGACTAGACCAGGCCTTTAATCTGTCTGTCTTCAGATACCATCAATCTTGAAGCCAGTGTAGCTCAGGGCCTGTTGTTGGGTCTCTACAGAAGGCAAAGGAGAGATATAGAGAAGCAACTAGGGAGACCAGATATACTGAACTTTAAAAAATATGTATTTGGCTAGATGCAGTGGCTCACTCCTGTAATCCCAGAACTTTGGGAGGCCGAAGCAGGTGGATCACCTGAGGTCAGGAGTTCAAGACCAATCTGACCAACATGGAGAAACCCCATCTTTACCAAAAATACAAAATTAGTTGGGTATGGTGGTGCATACCTGTAATCCAGCTACTCGGGAGACTGAGGCAGGAGAATTGCTTGACTCCGGGAGGGGGAAGTTGCCATGAGATAACAGCAGGCCATTGCACTCCAGCTTGGGCAACAAGAGTAAAACTTTGTCTTTTTTTTTTTCTTCTTAAAATTATTATTATTATTTATTTTATTTAAAAAAAAAGATGGGGTTTCACCATGATGGCCAGGCTGGTCTTGAACTCCTGACCTCAGGTGATCCATCCACCTTGGCCTCCCAAAGTGTTGGGATTACAGGCGTGAGCCACTGCACCTGGCAAAACTTTGTCTTAAAAAAAAAAAGGCCGGGCACAGAGGCTCATGCCTGTAATTCCACCACTTTGGGAGTCTGAGGCGGGTGGATCACAAGGTCAGGAGTTTGAGACCAATTTGACCAGCATGGTGAAACCCTGTCTCTACTACAAATACAAAAATTAGCTGGGTGTGGTGGCACGTGACTGTAATCCCAGCTACTTGGGAGGCTGGGGCAGGAGAATCACTTGAACCCAGGAAGTGGAGGTTGCAGTGAGACGAGATTGTGCCACTATACTCCAGCCTGGGTGACTGATGGAGACTCTGTCTCAAAAAAAGAAAGAAAGAAAGAAAGAAAGAAACCTCTAGAGAAAAATATTATTAAGAACATATGATAGGCCGGGCGCGGTGGCTCAAGCCTGTAATCCCAGCACTTTGGGAGGCCGAGGCGGGTAGATCACAAGGTCAAGAGATCGAGACCATCCTGGTCAACATGGTGAAACCCCGTCTCTACTAAAATAATTACAACAAATTAGCTGGGCATGGCGGAGCGTGCCTGTAATCCCAGCTACTCGGGAGGCTGAGGCAGGAGAATTGCCTGAACCCAGGAGGCGGAGGTTGCGAGATCGCGCCATTGCACTCCAGCCTGGGTAACAAGAGTGAAACTCCGTCTCAGGGAAAAAAAAAAAAAAAAAAAAAAAAACATATGATAATTAAAATAAAAATATTGATGAGTTAAATATGCGGAAAAAATATAATAAAAGCAGAACTCATTCCCATTTCAAATGTTTTTCTCTTGCAGAAGATCCTAAAGTTTGGATACAGCAAAGTAAAATACAGCCTTTTGTAAAACAATTAGGAATTCAAGTTCATAGCAACAGCTTCCCCCAAGGAAATTTTCTATTGATTTGTAATTTGGCCTTGAATTTGACCTGTGGCCTTCATGTCATGATAATTTGGGTCACTCTGAATATGCCATCCCTTGAACAAGGGCCTCTGCTAATTTTGAATGAATGCAGCTGCCCATTGCCATTCTTCTATTTGCATCACAATATGTGGGAATAAATTTGCAATTAATAAGACATTTCCAGTAAGCAGTCAGATTGAGGAAATGAAGGACGTCTATTTAGTAAGTTTAAAAGAGATACTTCATTTTTGCTTTTTTGGACATAAGAAAGGGAAAGAAAACAGTTTATGTCTGACAACCCTGGTAGAGGCCTGAATTGTACCCTGGGCTACAGCAACTAAAAATACCATGTATCTCAAATTCGATTCTCGTTAAACAAAAAAAGTAAAATAAAATATATACAAAAAAATTATACCAGTCCTAAAAATGTTAATCTTCCTTTCCTCCCTCCCTCCCTTCTCTCCTTCCCTCTCTCCCTCCCCTCTTCCTCTCTTTGGTTCAATGAAAATGAATAATTTTCAGGTTTGATTCACGGATAGGTCTTACATTTGAAATTGCTGCCAGGCACGATGGCTCATGCCTGTAATTCCAGCACTTTGGGAGGCCAAAGTGGGTGGATCACCTGAGGTCGGGAGTTTGAGACCAGTCTGTCCAACGTGGTGAAACCCGGTCTCTACTACCTGGGCGTGGTGGCTTGCAGCTGTGGTCCCAGCTACTTAGGAGGTTGAGACAGGAGAAGAGGTTGAGATAGGAGAAGAGGTTGAGATAGGAGAATTGCTTGAACCCGAGGCAGAGGTTGTAGTGAGGCAATATTGCACCACTGCCCTCCAGCCTGGGCAACAGAGCGAGACTGTCTGGAAAAAAAAAAGGAAAAAGAAAAAAAATTGCCTCGCTTTTGGTGGCCGAGCACCTCATGGTCTTTATTCCATCTTGGATTGGAGGCTGCGTTAATTAGTAATATATTGTCCAGATAGAGGTCCTATGTGGGTATAGTATGCCAGGAAATGAGGAGTCTGGAAGCCCGGCCCTAAGAGAAACAAATAAAGGGACATCAAAGAGAAGGAAGTGAGGTACCCTGAGGAGAAGCTGGGATGTCTTTTTTTTTTTTTTTTTTTTTTTTTTTTAAAGACGGGGTTTCACCATGTTGGTCAGGCTGGTCTTGAACTCCCGACCTCAGATGATCCACCCGCCTTGGCCTCCAAAGTGCTTGGATTACAGGCGTGAGCCACAGCCCCCGGCCAGCTGGGATGTCTTAACAACTGCTTTGGGATTTTGAGTTTGCCCTTTTCACTGTGTATAATATTCCTTGCCCTACTTTACACCTGTTGAAAATTTCCTCATTCTCCAAGGTCAGACTGAATACATCTAATGTGAAGTTTCTAGAACCTGTTGGGATCCGTCTCCCTACTGACAAACCCCCATAGCGCTTGCTACTTATGTTGCAATATCAGCAATAGTCTGACTTATCTAGGTCAGGTTAAGTAGTAGGGCCTTGAACGCCACACTAAGGTGTTTAAGCCTTAAGTTTGTAGTCATGGGGAGCCATTATGCTTCTGAGGACAGTTGTGCTTTTGTTGTTGTTGTTTTGAGACGGAGTCTCTCTGTCGCCCAGGCTGGAGTGCAGTGGCACGACCTCGGCTCACCGCAACCTCCGCCTCCCGCTTTCAAGCAATTCTCCTGCCTCAGCCTCCCGAGTAGCTGGGACTCCAGGCGCGTGCCACCACGCCCGGCTAATTTCTGTATTTTTCATAGAGGCGGGGTGAGGCGGGGTTTCACCGTGTTAGCCAAGATGGTCTCGATCTCCTGACCTCGTGATCCGCCCGCTTCGGCCTCCCAAGATGCTGGGATCACAGGCGTGAGCCACGGCGCCCGACCTCAGGGTGACTTAAGACCGACGTTTAGGAAGGTATCAAAGGCAGACTGAGAAGCTGTTTCAGGTGAGAAGGGGGTGGAGTTACTCTTTCTCCTTTTTGTGTTGTTTCTGTTAGCACACGACTATGGGCCAGGCATTCCGCTTGGTGATCCCGTTTCCGAGAAGGGAGCCCCGTTACTCCGGCACACCGGGACTCTCCGTCTTCACCGCCCTCTCTTCTCTCTGTAATTCCTTCCCTGCAGTCGTGCTTTCCAGGTTCAGCAATGACTTGCTACCTGGCACGTCTAGGGATCTGTCCTCTCAGTCCTCACACTTGCTTTGAATCCATAAGCTTCTTCCCGAAATGTTTTCTCGCAACTCCCAACTCCCAGACGCTAAAAGCGAAGCTTAATTAGTCAAGGAGAGCTATGGGTAGAGACTTGAAGAGATTTGAAGGGTATCTTCGAGCGCTTTAGACTTGAGAGGTCGGTGACAAAAGCGCTAAAGAGATCGGCCAAAGCCTGCGGATTCTTCTTTTAACAGCTCTATTCTCATGCATGCGCGCCAGGGCTTCGGGTAACTTTTGTTGTTTGTTTGTAAAAGAAATGGAGAAAGGGAGTGGGGCCCCGCCTCTTTTCTGACCTAAGGGCAGGAGTGAGGGGTTGGGAGGATTACCGGCGGCTCCCCCTAGACGCGCCCCCAGGCGGGCTGGAGACAGGGACACTCCCTGCTTGGTCGAGGGGCGGGGCGCGCCTAGCGGCCAAGCGCGCGGGCGTCGGAGGGGGCGTGTCCCGCGGCCGCGCGCGGCGTCGGAGGGGGCGTGTCCCGCGGGCGGCGGCGGCGGCGGCGGCGGCGGCGCAGGCTGGGTGCGCGGCGTAGCGTCCTGTGGTGGAATGTGCGGCTCCCGCGAGCTCGCGGCGCAGAAGCGGAGCGAGCGCCGCCGAGGCCCGGGACCCCAGACCCCGGCGGCGGCGGCAACCGAGACCGCTGGGCGAGTCCCGGAGGCCTGAGCACCCTCTGCAGCCCCACTCCTGGGCCTTTTCGGTCCTCGACGGCCCCAGCACCCAACTTTTCCACCCTCCCCCACCCTTCCCCCGAAACTCCAGCAACAAAGAAAAGTAGTCGGAGAAGGAGCGGCGACTCAGGGTCGCCCGCCCCTCCTCCCCGAGGAAGGCCGGTAAGTGCGGCGCGGGGCTGAGGGCTCGGTCGGGGTGGGGGAGGGCCGGTCGGGTGGTGGCGGTGGCGGGAGGGGGAGGGCGCGGAAGGACGCGGAGCCAGGCGCTGTCCAGGGCTGATTTGCAGATACTGTGGCTCTGGCGGCGGCGACCGCGCCGGGCGGGGGCTGGCGGCCGAGCGGGATCGGGTTACAGAGCCGCCGCCCGGGGGCTGGGGGCGTTTGTTGGGAGCGGCGCGTCGCCTGGACCCCCTCCCCACTGGAAGCCGGGACACCGCCTCTGCGCGGGCCGGGACGCTCCTCCGAATCTGGTCCTTTGAGGCCAAGGAGCGGAGCTGCTCCGGGCCCTAGTCCTGAAACTTCCTCTGTTTCCTCCTCCAGCCCCCAGGTCCCACCGCAGCCCCGCGCGGGCCCGCGGCCCTCCCGTCCCCCTCCCCCAGAGCCTCTCCCTGTCGCCGGAAGGCGCCGTTGAGTGTGGCCGGGCGGGTTGAGTCAGCCCCGGGGCCCGGGCGGTTCCGCCAGCGGGGCTGGACAGCGATTTCTGCGCTTCGGCCGCCCGGCGCCGCGGGCCCCCGCGTCCGGCCACCGACCATCCGAGTTGGCGGGGCTGGGGCGCGCGTCCTGCCGGGCGCCGTGGGGGAGTGAAGTTCGCAAACTTCCGGGGCGCGGGGGTGGCGGCTGGCCCGCGTGGGGTCCCCCTCCGGCTCTCGGGGCCCGACGCCTCGCGAGGGCGCCCGCGGAGCCTCCCCAGCTCTGGGCGTTGGGCAAGCCTCGGGCGGTCGGAGGGGCCTGGGGGCAGTCAGAGAAGCCCGGACGTTGGCTACGCGGTAACTTTCTTTCCTCTTGGAGGACGGGGGCCCTAGGGCTGGGGAGGGGTCTGCCTGAACCCTGGTAGAACTCCGTCCGGCCAAACAGCGCCACGAGCTTGCTCCCCTCCCGCGTTTTAGTGTTGGAGAGCGCAGGAAAAGGCTCAGGACGAGTGTCGGGGCGACTCCTGCGAGTTGGTGTGTAAATGCGTGCAGTAATCGGGCCGAGGCGAGAGGAAGCGAGAGCCGCCCGAGTTTGCAAAGAGCTGCTTTGTGTTTGGTATTTTGAGAAAATGGCCGAATGCCTATTTCAGTTAGGAATGCCGCGGCCGAGGCAGGCGCTGGTGGCAGCAGCACGGAGGAATTCGTGCAGCACGTTGGACTTTCGGGCTGTGCCTGGACGGTCTTGCTAACAATCGTTAAAATTCCTTTTGGGGTGGCAGTTAGGGATTAGGGAGCGATTAGAAAAGTCGATGTTGGGCTGCATTGCCCAGTAGCTTGGGGCTCTTCAGCCCCGGGACAGCCTTCGCCCTCTGTTTCTGTGATGGCATTTGCTTTCAACTTTAGTTGGTACGTAGAACTAAGCCGGTTTGTGTTTATACACTTAGGTGAATCAGATTGCTTTTTGTATTTTCGGTTTAACTTTGTTTTCTTAGGATTTTTTTCTTTTTTAATTTGCAAGAGAACACTTCATTTGAGAACAGCACCTTTTAGATTGAGAAGTAACGTAGTTAAGAGCTTAGAAAGCCCAACTTGTTTTCAAGAAGGTGATCTTGTAATGGCTTCCACTAGACAAGTAGGCCAAGTCAAGCACAATGCAAGAAAGTTGCGGATTGTCGAGTTGAGTTGCACAGTGATTATATTCGTATTGAGAAGCTTGGAATTCAGTGTTGTAGAATTTCAGCCTGCAGAAAAATGTTTATTAGTTTTTATTTGTTGAGTTTTGAATAAATCAAACTTACTTTTTCACAAGAAAATGTGTCCCATAATGTTTTTCTTTTAAGCCTGTAGAGTTGTTGAGAAATTAAGAGGGACTGACTGGTACTTTTTCACAGTAGTTTATTCTTTTGGAATTAGTTGAATTCATGCGAAATCCAATTAAGTTGAATAATTATTACAGGCTTCTACTTTCCAGATGTGTTTGTGTACTTAATAAATGCGTTGAATGGCGTGTGGATTTCTGGGCTTTCTGATTCAGACCATTGAATCAGAAAAGGGGTCAATGAGGGGGAGTTGAGAAGACAATAATTTACTACTTTTGTATTGAGTTTTTAAAATAATTTTAACAGGAAAAATAAAGGTTACTTTTTTATCCCCACCAGAACAATTAAAGTGCTTGAGGGACCACATGCCAGTGGCTGGATGATGAATGAGTTATGACAAACAATTGGTAGAATTGTTTTCTAGAGATAGTAGAATTTTTTTTTTTTTTTTTTTTTTTTTTTGTGACAGTAAAGACTGTTGGTCATTAACGACTATTTTAAAGGTTTGTTTTTAATAAGTGATGACGTTTGTTGAGTTATAAAGATCATATATACTGGAAATTTTTTAAGTTATGAAGAATTACAGTGATGTGGTTTTAAGCCAGTAACAGTAGTGTTTAAACTGGTGCTTTTGTTCTGTTTTGTTTTTAATTCAGAATACAGTTATGGCCACCCAGGTAATGGGGCAGTCTTCTGGAGGAGGAGGGCTGTTTACCAGCAGTGGCAATATTGGAATGGCCTTGCCTAACGACATGTATGACTTACATGACCTCTCCAAAGCTGAACTGGCTGCACCTCAGCTTATCATGCTGGCAAATGTGGCCTTAACTGGGGAAGTAAATGGCAGCTGCTGTGATTACCTGGTTGGTGAAGAAAGACAGATGGCAGAATTGATGCCTGTTGGGGATAACAACTTTTCAGATAGTGAAGGAGAAGGTCTTGAAGAGTCTGCTGAAATCAAAGGTGAACCTAATGGAATGGAAAACATGGAACTGAGAAGTTTGGAACTCAGTGTTGTAGAACCTCAGCCTGTATTTGAGGCATCAGCTGCTCCAGAGATTTACAGCTCAAATAAAGATCTTCCTCCTGAAACACCTGGAGTGGAGGACAAAGGCAAGAACTCAAAGACCAAACCCTTTCGATGTAAGCCATGCCAGTATGAAGCAGAATCTGAAGAACAGTTTGTGCATCACATCAGAGTTCACAGTGCCAAGAAATTTTTTGTGGAAGAGAGTGCAGAGAAGCAGGCAAAAGCCAGGGAATCTGGCTCTTCCACTTCAGAAGAGGGAGATTTCTCTAAGGGCCCCATTCGCTGTGACCGCTGTGGCTATAATACCAATCGATATGATCACTATACTGCACACCTGAAACACCACACCAGAGCTGGGGATAATGAGCGCGTCTACAAGTGCATTATCTGCACATACACAACAGTAAGCGAGTATCACTGGAGGAAACACTTGAGAAACCATTTTCCAAGGAAAGTATACACTTGTGGAAAATGCAACTATTTTTCAGACAGAAAAAACAATTACGTTCAGCATGTTAGAACTCATACAGGTAAGAGAAGCTTTCTTGTCCATAAGTTCAGTTCTCATTTCTGATTGTTGAGTGGTTAGTTGAGAAAGGACTTTGGTTCAAATCCAGGTTCCATTATTTGCTGTCTTTGTGACCTTGCATGAGTTGTTTAACATCTTTGTTCAGAATTTTCTCCATGGAGTAACAACATCTAGGATGGGAGGATTATGTGAAGTTAAGTGTAAAGCACAGAGTGTTACCTGGGAGGAACAGCCAAGAGATCTTGCCATGTTCTTCCTGAAGTACATATTCTGACTTGGGATCTACTTTCGGCAAGTTAGACTGCTTTTAAGTTTGTTGATGGCTGTGTCTGGTGGCTAACTCCTGTAATCCTAGCACTTAAGGAGGACCAGGCAGAAGGACTCCCTGAGCCCAGAAGTTCTATCTAGATCAGTCTGGGAAACATGGAAAGACCCCGTTTTAAAAGAAAAAAGGAAAAGTTTGTATGTATATTTTCTGTGACACTGAACACATCTAAGATGCAGTATAATTTCTGAAAGGAATTGAGGACTTATATAAAAAGGAAAACTCAGTGATTAACCTTGCATATCTCTACCTAACAAAAGTCTCAAACTTTAAAACATTTGATTTACAGCAGCTTGCATATCTCTACCTAACAAAAGTCTCAAACTTTAAAACATTTGATTTACAGCAGTGAGTTCCTAAAAGAAATGTGAGAAGGTAGTTTTTAAAAGATGGGTGGGATTCAAAAAAGTTGAAACTTTTTTTTTTGAAATAGAGTATTGCTCTGTCACCCAGACTAGAGTGCAGTGGCATGATCTCAGGTCACTGCAACGTCTGCCTCCCAGGTTTAAGCGATTCTCCTGTCTCAGCCTCCTGAGCAGCTGGGTTTATAGGTGCCTGCCACCTTGCCCAGGTAATTTTTGTATTTTTAGTAGTGGCTGTTCTCAAACTCTTGACCTTAGGTGATCCACCCACCTCAGCCTCCTAAAGTGCTGGAATTAAAGGCGTGAGCCACCACACCTGGCAGAAACTTCTAAAATTTATTTTTGTAGAGATGGGGTCTCACTATGTTGCCCAGGATGGTCTTAAATGCCTGGCCTCGAGTGATCCTGCTGACCCAGCCTTCCCTAGTGTTGGGATTATAGGCATGAGCCACTATGCACACCAGTCATTCACTTTTAAATTGGGTTTGATTCAGCTGGTGTCCACTGTAGTTTGGTTTTGTTTTTTTTTTTTTGAGACTGAGAGTTTTGCCCTTGTTGCCCAGGGTGGAGTACAATGGCACGATCTGCAACCTCCACCTCAGAGTCAAGCGATTCTCCTACCCCAGCTTCCTCAGTAAGTGGTATTACAGTCTTACGCCACCACACCCAGCTAATTTTGTATTTTTAGTAGAGACGGGGTTTCTTCATGTTGGTCAGGCTGGTCTCAAACTCCCAACCTCAGGTGATCTGCCCATCTGGGCCTCCCAAAGTGCTCAGATGACACACATGTGAACCACTGAGCCCGGCCTTAATTGGGTTTTGTTTATTTATTTGAGACAGAGTCTAAAGCTGTAGCCCAGGCAGTGGTGTGATCATAGCTCACTGCAACCTCTACTTTCTGGGTTTAAGCAGTCCTCCTACCCTAACCTCCAAAGTAACTGGGACTAGAGACTGCACTACCACACCCACCTAATTTTTTAAAATTTAAATTGGATTTTAAATATTTGTAATTGAGTGGCCTAATTTTTTTTTTTAAGCCCAAAATTGTACTGGTTTGTTGTCAAAAGGGCCTAATTTTTCTTTTCTTTTCTTTTCTTTTCTTTTCTTTTCTTTTTTTTTTTTTTTTTTGAGACGGAGTTTCGTTCTTGTTACCCAGGCTGGAGTGTAATGGCGCGATCTCGGCTCACCGCAACCTCCGCTTCCTGGGTTCAGGCAATTCTCCTGCCTCAGCCTCCCGAGTAGCTGGGATTACAGGCATACGCCATCATGCCCCGCTAATTTTTTGTATTTTTAGTAGAGACGGGGTTTCACCATGTTGACCAGGATGGTCTCAACCTCTTGACCTCATGATCCACCCGCCTGGGCCTCCCAGTGTGCTGGGATTACAGGCGTGAGCCACCGCGCCCGGGTAAGGGCCTAATTTTTCACAGAAATGTTTTTAACTATTGGTAGCTTATGTGGATATTTCTGTTAAATTTTCCTGGTAAGAATTGGTACATTGGGGTCCTGATGAATGGATAGAGTAATCCAGTACTCTACTCTTGGGATCACAAATGAATAGGGGCTGTGGGATGCTGTTTGCCACAGATTTCCTCTTATAGGACTTACAGATCCTGGCACTTGCCAAGACTGAACCCTACTGGTGAAGAGGACATTGGGGAGGGGAATTGATACTGCTTTACTGCTTTAAGTGGAGTGGTAGACTTTTTTTTTTTGTTTTTGAGATAGTTTTACTTTGTCACCCAGCTTGGAGTGTAGTGGCATGATCACTGCTCACTGCAGCCTTGACCTCCTGGGCTCAAGTGATCTTCTTGCCTCAGTCCCCCAAGTAGCTGGGACCACAGATGCATGCCACCACATCTGCCTACTCTTTGTAGTTTTTTAGAGGTGGGGTTTCGCCATGTTGCCCAGGTTGGTCTCAAACTCCTGAGCTCAGGTAATCTGCCCTTAGCCTTCCAAAGTGCTGGGATTATGGGTGTGAGCCACCATAACCAGCCGACGTAATTTTTTTTTTTTTTTTTTGAGACGGAGTTTCTCTCTTGTTACCCAGGCTGGAGCGCAATGGCGCGATCTCGGCTCACTGCAACCTCTGCCTCCTGGGTTCAGGCAATTCTCCTGCCTCAGCCTCCTGAGTAGCTGGGATTACAGGCACGCACCACCATGCCCAGCTAATTTTTGTGTTTTTAGTAGAGGCGGGATTTCACCATGTTGACCAGGATGGTCTCAATCTCTTGACCTCGTGATCCACCCGCCTCAGCCTTCCAAAGTGCTGGGATTACAGGTTTGAGCCACCGCGCCCGGCCCTGACGTAATTTTTAAAAATTTATTTTATTTACTTATTTTTTACATCCCAAAGACTTTGCAACTATTAAGTGGTAGACTTAAACAGTAAAACTTGCAGGTGAAATTCCATTACAAGAGTGACCTCTGTTACAAGATTGCTAAGCGTCAGCAGATGGATGGCTCATGTGTTGAATGTTTTAAAATTTAGTCCAGTAAAAGAATTTGTAGTCCCTTTGGAATTCATCATAACCTGTGATTGTCTCCATACTTTGAAACCATTCGATTTCAGAAGTAAAGGTCAAGCATTACAAAAATACACAGAGAAGGAAATGAAAGTTACTTGGGGATACAACCCCATAAATCACTTGACAGTTTGAATTAGGCAGACTGTTAGACAAAACCAACCTCACCTATAATATCTGAAAACGAATCCCAGGCATCATATGTACTAAACTTGTAAATAAGTACGTCATATTCATTTAGCTGGGATTACAGGTGCCCACCAGCATGATTTTTGTATTTTCTTTTTTTTTTTTTTTTGAGACGGAGTTTCAGTCTTGTTACCCAGGCTGGAGTGCAATGGCACGATCTTGGCTCACCGCAACCTCCGCCTCCTGGGTTCAAGCAATTCTCCTGCCGCAGCCTCCTGAGTAGCTGGGATTACAGGCACGTGCCACCATGCCCAGCTAATTTTTTGTATTTTTAGCAGAGACGGGGTTTCACCATGTTGACCAGGATGGTCTCGATCTCTGGATCTCGTGATCCACCCGCCTCGGCCTCCCAAAATGCTGGGATTATAGGCTTGAGCCACCGCGCCCGGCTTTTTTTTTCTTTCCTTTTTTTTTTTTTTTTTTTGAGACGGAGTTTCGCTCTTGTTACCCAGGCTGGAGTGCAATGGCACGATCTCGGCTCACCGCAGCCTCTGCCTCCTGGATTTTTGTATTTTCAATATAGATGGGGTTTCACCGTGTTGGCCAGGCTAGTCTCAAACTCCTGACCTCAGATGATCCGCCTGTCTCAGCATCCTGAAGTGCTGGGATTATAGGCATGAGCCACCATGACTGCCCTGGTTTATTTGGTCTTAATGCTTGTTTTTCCCGGTACTACCTTCATTCTGATTTTTTTTCTTGATACAGAGTCTTGCTTTGTTGCCCAGGCTGGAGTGTAATGGTGCGATCTCGGCACCATGCAACCTCCACCTCCTGGTGGTTCAAGTGATTCTCCTGCCTCGGCCTCCAGAGTAGCTGGGATCACAGGCGTTTGCCACCACGCCCAGCTGATTTTTTTGGTTTTTTTTTTTTTTTTTTGAGACGGAGTTTCGCTCTTGTTTCCCAGGCTGTAGTGCAATGGCTCGATCTTGGCTCACCGCAACCTCCGCCTCCTGGGTTCAGGCAAGTCTCCTGCCTCAGCCTCCTGAGTAGCTGGGATTACAGGCACGCGCCACCATGCCCAGCTGATTTTTGTATTTTTAGTAGAGACGGGGTTTCACTATGTTGACCAGGACGGTCTCGATCTCTTGACCTCGTGATCCACCCGCCTCAGCCTCCCAAAGTGCTGGGATTACAGGCTTGAGCCACCGTGCCCGGCCTTTTTTGGTATTTTTAATAGAGATGGGGTTTTTCCATGTTGGACAGGCTGGTCGAGGTTTTACCATGTTGGACAGGCTGGTCTCAAACTCCTGACCTTGTGATCTGCCTGCCTCGGCCTCCCAAAGTGCTGGGATTACAGGCGTGAGCCACTGAGCCTGGCCTTTTTTTTTACGTCTTTAATAGTTTGGTGATGTATACATCTTAAAACAGTTTGGTAGATTGAAGATTAATACTTTGATTATGTAAATTCTGAAAGTACCTCTGGTGTTATTAAATGCATAATTCTGAAAATTATAGAAAATAAACTTTATCTGGTGTAGAACAGTAGAGAGAGAGAAAAACAGCTGGAATCACTTAAATTGATAGTGTGCAGGGATTCTCTTTCCACTTGCATTATTAAGTAGCCCAGTTTTCTGATTCACTTATGGGTTTGTGTTTCTTG